TTTTTGGAGAGTTTCTTTTGTTCAAAACATAAAGGAGCGAGTACGACGTTTCCCCCTTTGCTAAGCGAAATTAATCCGATATACGGCGCTGATGTAAATGTCACTCTATGTCATTCCACAATGATACATTTTTTGGCTTGACAATATATAAGCTCTTCATTCAACATGCATAATTTTTGAACGGTCGAGTAAAAAAAAGAAACATATCATAAAATATTCTTCTTACGTTTATCATAAAAATTCTCTATATTTTAAATTTAATTGTTTAAAAATAACAATAATTTCAATTTTTTTTCATAGATTGAACAAGAATCTAATGTAAAAAGTAATACCAATGCGACACCTACCGTTAAAATAGAAAAGGAAACTTATTTGGAATTGTAACATTTTGGTCCGCCATAACAGCATCTTCGTTTTGCTTCTCTGTGATTGGTCAAGTAAAGCGAAGATGCTGTCATGGCGGACCAAAATGCTACAATGGAGACCAACTAAGTTTCTTTTTGCATTTTTACGGTAGGTGTCGCATTGTCATTACTATTTACATTGGATTCTTATTTAATCGATGAAACATTTTTTGTTGAAATTATTGTAATTTATAAACAAATTAATTTTTTTATAAAAAAAATTTTTTTTTTAAATTTTTCAATGAAAAATGTTAGAAAAATATTTATGACATATTTTTTTCAACGATTCAATAATTATGAATGTTTATGCATTTTAAATGAAGAGCTTATATATTGTCAAGCCAAAAAAGTATTATTGTGAAATGACAGAGTGACATTTACATCAGCGCCGTATATCGAATTAATTTCGCTTGGCATAGGGGGAAATATTTTGACAGATAGTACTCGATCCTTTCAAACTGATTCCCATCGATGACACAAATTCTATTTAATTAGGTTTTCTATCTTTTGGAATAAATAGATCTGAATATAACTATTTTTGATTAAGAAAATGAACAATCGGAATATTGTATACTCCAAAAAATGTGTGAGCACTTTTTCAAACTCCCAATGAAATATCATAAATTTTGTTATGTTTAAAAATATTTGTTTTTGCTTGGTTTGAAATGTAAGAAGAAAAAATTACCTAGAAAAACCCCTCGAATCCTGAATTTTTCATTTCAAATAGTTTTGAATTTGTATGCAGCCGAATAATATGAAAAGTGGATAAAAGTAAGTTTAACACCAAAAGAAAATCCACAACTATACCGAAACATGGAATAAGAACGCATGCATATGAAAAATAGGGCACAATTTACAACCAAAAAAAAAAAAACGATAGAACGAAATAGTAAAAATTGCGATGAAAATAATGATAAAAAAAATTCAGTTCTGGCAGGTGGATTCGAAAAATGTTAAAAAGCACGAAGATGTCTTGCGGCTCGTTGAATACAACGAAACCGCAATTTCCGGAATTTGGCTTGGCTTTCACTCGAAATTGTTGTATATGACAGAGCCCAGTTTTGTTTTCAAGTCACCGACCATATTTTTTCATATTCAATTCATAACAGTCAATTCATGGATTTTCATTTGCGTCGCATTTTTTTTTTTCTCGTTACTTCGGTCAATTTCAACAATGTGTTTTCATTTATCGTCATTATTTTAGTTTAAAACCCTCATCACATTTACATTCTAATTTAAGATTTGATCATTGGCATAGAAAATATGATAATTTGATATGGATAATGCAGATTTTTAGTTTTTTTCTTCTTGCACTATAGACTTTTGTTAATTCTCTCAAATGTTTGTCTATTAAAGCGAAAAGGGTAGAATGCAAATAATGAATCACATGAAAGAAAAATGTGAAACTGTTGGATTCGCAACAAATGTTCGTGCCCTATCGAGCTTCACAATGGCATTCTCTTTATGCATTTAATTGTATTATGTTTTCGATTTGCGGCGGGTGCGCCCTCTCCATTTCTCTCTTCATTTTATGTAAATGGCATGATTTCATTAGAAATAGTTTACATGGTATTTTGATACGTGGCATTGGTGATAGTGGTCGCAGATAAATGACCGTATTGCTTTATATGCATTGCAAATGAGAACTATACATTTCGCCACCGAAACATGGATTTGGTTAATTCAACAGCTTTTCTGTTTAATTGTTTGCCAATGTCACATTACAATCATTGTACGTGGCAAGAGATTCGCGTATTGCATTCGCACGAACCGCAATACACCTTATATGGGTTAATCCTTTTTTTTCGCTATACTACCTTACGCCATTTGTCTCTTTCTGTCTCTCGCTGAGAATAAATGAAATTTATTACATTGAACATTTTCAGCGAAGTGTGTAATGCAAAGTCCACATTTCAGTAATTAAGCAAAAGCAGCAGAAGCATTGTGTGGCGAATACAATACACAAATGGAAATGTGCACAGGAACCAATAACGAAAACGTCCGTTTTAATTAAATTGGATTATCTTTAATTTATCTGGGGACTGGAGACAAGAAACCAACTGCATTATTATATGGCTAGTCACTTTCATGAGTCTCTCATTTTGAACGCGCTCCAGATTCGTTCACTCAGTCATAGTTCGATGGGGTAATTATGCAAGTGTACTTGTTCCATTTTTCCTCGTGAAATATGCAAATTGTGTTGAAATTATACACAATTCACTCGAATCAACGGAAAGATGAAGGTTCGAACAACCGACGAATATGCAATACAATTTCCTTGTGATTTTCATCTCTGTTTGACCTTTTAATTCGTGTGTACCTTATTTGAATTAGAGTAGAAATTTGTACGCAAATTATTTACATTTCTGCGATATGCAACATTTAAAATTATGCATAGAAGAACGTCAGTAACAAATAAAATATTCTGACATTTCTCTCTCTCTCTCTCTCTCTGTCACTCACAGTTTCCAATGAATTTTAAACCCACAATTTCATTTGATTATTCTGAAATTATAGTGTCAAATGAGTATGCGTTTAAACGTTTGTACATGTATTTTATTTTCAACTCGTGTGCAGCGTAAAGGTGCGTTGGCATTCATCTCATCGTACATTTGTATAATTTCTAAAATGTTATCAAAGCGCGAATTCGATACGCATATACACAAATTATTCGAAGCAATGTTCAAATGGGCGAGAACTTGACGAATAATAAAATTGCGTGTGTCAGAAATATAATTAGAGAGACTAGATGAGTACTTGTGTGTTATGTGCATGCCTGCCTGCCTGCGAACGTCATGTCAGCATATTTATCATAATAAATATATGCACGATTTCAAATTAGACATGTTTCACCGTTTGTTCACGTGGTTTCACTCATTTTAAACGAGAAATCCTTCTGACATTCTATTTTTTCAACGTGATCCAATGTTCATTTCATTCTCACTGCTGTGAGCGCAAAACACATATACACACAATGTTTTTTCTACCTGTCGAGCAGCACCGAAATTTACCAACACATGCTGTTTAACAAAAATTTAGTTTCAACTCGGACTGATAACGAATGTTTCCTATATTTTTTTTCTCGCCTCCAAATTCCACATTTATCTCTGATAATTTAAATGGCTTACTTGCTATTGCGCGCCATTCATGTTCGACAAAGAGAATAGATTTAATAGAGTCTGGCATCAAAAAATCGATGCCTGCTTATTCAAAACTGATTAAAATCCATTACATTTTTTTCAACACGCGGTAGCTTTTCCGACGACAGAACACAGTAGCATGAACTGATGTCGCAGTGATGTCGCAGTCAAACATCTCGAAACAATATCATAGCTCTCGTATCATATTCATCTCTGGTTGGAGGTATGCTAGCGTAATATACGCTGCAGCTGTAGGTTTTAATTAAATTATTCATTAAAATTTATAGTTATAATAACATGAGCGTACTTTGTGAAATGAACTTTGAATATATATCGTTGATATTGAACGTTATAAGCCTGTCTATTTATTTTATTGCTTATATAAATGGTTACGATGAGTAAATTGGAAAATTACCCACTTTGTGCGAAAAAAAAAATTGGATGGGAAATGTTGAGAGTAAAAAAAGCTGTATTAAATTGCACACCATTTACAGTTAGACTATATAATTTGGAGGTGTTTTTTTTAATGAAGAATCTGGTTCCTATTCGATAAAAATTAAATTGGAATTTGATTTTGATTCTTATCGTTGTGTGTCACACGGTCCTCTTCAAATTATACGAATTTGGAAAAATCGGATGCATACTTAAATTTTCTTACGTAACATCGGAAGAATCTCATAAAATTTCAATGAATTGAGATAAATTTGGGTTTAATTTTTTTTGAAGATGTTTAGGCGTGAATAAAAGAGATGTGTATATATCAGAAGAGGACTTGTTACGCAAAAGAAAGTCTTTTCAAAAGTGAAGTACAAATATCATGCAAAGTCGAATGAAGTATGGTTGTACATCATTTGGATGTATCGATTAAAAGCTTACCTTTGTTAATTACTTATTGGTGTCACGATTTTATTAGTAGCTGTAGTCCATTTGTATGGGGATGCTTTGAGCCTCTAGTCGCGACGCGACGCAACGCGTAAGCAATGTAATTTAGAATACATAAGCATGGCATCAATCAGCCGAAAATTTCGTCTCGTTATTACGTTTAAGTTGAACCACAACCAAGAGATGCACGTAAGAAAAAAAAAGCACGAAAATCATTATTATTTTCGCTCGTATCAATTGGTCTTGCGTCGTTTAATGGAAACACCGTTGTGATTAAGTGCTTTTGTAAATATACGTTTTTGCAAATGAATTCGAAATTAATCGATTTTTTGTTCGCCATCGTCGTCGTCGGCCGTAAATACTAAATTTCTTTGAACCTGCGTCAGTCGTTGAACTGCGATTGAAACATTTATACTTCTACTTACTTATCTTAATAAGAACAATAAAATTGAGAATGATCCATTTAATTTATAATTAATATATTTCGTCTGGATATTTGCATTATATTTGTGCGTGTTCCACTGTGATAACAACTTTTTTAACTATTTTGTCTGGATTTTGTTTTATTTTGTAGGTTTCATTTGTTCGGCATAGAGATATACACCTCCTGACAGTAGGCCGGTACACATACACATCTGATCAGCGATTTGAAGCATTACATTCACCGCACACCGAAGAATGGACGCTAAGAATTCGATATGCGCAACGAAAAGATTCAGGAATTTATGAGGTGAGTCACATTCCCTTTTTTCTTCTTCATATTAGAAATTAATCAATTCTCGTGTCCAATTAATTGATATTCCTCTTGCATTTCATTTACAGTGTCAAATTTCAACCACACCGCCAATTGGAAAATTCATTTATTTATCCATAGTTGGTAAGTCAATGCAATATTTTTTATTGAAATAGAATTTTTGTGGCACTTTGGCGCTTCTTTAAGTTAAAAACAAAATGGATGAAAATAACACTGGAATTTCTCATCCTTACACACAAGAGATAAACCCCACAAATTATTTTAGAATTCCTATTAAAAAATGAATTTGTTAGGTTTCCTTATAAAATCGCAATATTTTAACAGGAATCCTAATAAATTGGCACGCTTAAACGTCAAATCCAACCTCACTGTGTTGAAACAAAACATGTTTTATTATTTAAAGGTTTCCTAATAAAATGTTGCCATATTAGAAGGAAACCTTACAAATTAATATTTTAATAGGAATCCTAAAATGATTTGTTAGGTTTATTTTTTGTGTGTAAAATCTTAATAATAATTGAAATGTATGGATACGTATACATATATGTATAACAGAACTTTAGTTCAACTGAATTTGTAGTACGGAACTACAGTTAAAACAAATTATTTCAAAGCAGAACATTCAAGTAAATTAAATTGGTGTTCTTGTTCAATTTACACTTCAAATTAATTTCCCCATTGTTTTTCTATATCTGCATCTTTCCATCCATAATCGCCAGAGTTTTTATTTTTCATGTCGTCTTCGATTATCATCGATGTAAAAGAACTTTTTTACCAATCGAGTCCACTAATTGCAATTGAAAAAGAAAACAAACATATTGCTCTCAAAAACAAATGCAATGAATGCACGCCCCGGCAACTCACTTATTGCAAGAATACATCTATATTTCGTATATCAATTGCAAGAATTGTAAGCTCACACCCGTATATATTGAGATAATAAAACTCTCGGCTAAACAATTAAAAACAATGAAAGCGAAACTCAACGGTTTGTGCCTCATACCATATCAAGCGAATCGTTTGCAAAAGGTGCACAAAACCAAGTCACCTGTACCGCCTTCGGGTTTCTTAATGCAATCTCTTTTTCTTGCCCCGTATTCGATATCAACTCGACGAATCCAGCGAGAACAAATTCGCAACCGCACCGCAATGATTAATGATTATTTGTTTGTTTTTGTTTGCTGTATGTATGTGTGTGTGTGTGTGCAAAGTTCGCGTGATGTTCCATGTGCACCTTGCTGTAATTATAGCCTCGAACTTGATCCGAATGTGAAAATAAACAATACACGTGATATAGTGATAATGATTTTGTGTTTGTGTGTGCGAATGCAATGCCAAGAAAAGAAGCTTCGGAATAAAATCCAGTTGAAATTCATTGGGATATGAAGTTACAATGAGCCAGAACTCATTCATCAATCGTTGCAAAATTCACATTTCTACGGTGATATTTGATTACTCGGTTTCATTATCGCAAACAGTTCAATAAAAATGTTATGAACAAGTAGAATATTTGATTCGAAGAGAAAAACAGAGAATACGACAAAGCCACGCAATCGGGTACGGATTTCTGCAATACGTTGGAAAATTAATCACGTAACAGCGAAAAATTAATTAAAAATTGTAATGCAAGATAGATTTTTATTGTTTCCAACAGCAAATGCACACTCGATAATAATCTAGTTGCTTGCTAGAATGTATAGTGTTCTGGTTTTCACATATACGAACATTTTTCAATTTAACAAACGGCTGCTTTTGAATTTTTGATGATGAATACCGAAATGTATGTATTTTCCGCCTTTTCCGCTTATCCATCTGAATATAGATTATTGGATATTTATTTTTATTTTTGGATTTGATTTTCGGAAATTTTCCATAAAAAGGTTGATAAAAAGGTTCACGTTTTTTTTTTACAAAAGCGATAGTATTCATGTCACAGGTCATTTATAGAGTTGGTCAGATAAAATATCTTTAATTATTCACTTTGGTTCTTAGTGAGAAAGCAGAAGCTTCTCGAAATAAATAATCCATCCGAATAAACTACCGTCGTCGATACCGAAATAGTGAAAGGGTAAGGCAGAGATAAGGGTTACGTATCGATAATAAATTGTTTTGGCTTAAATTGCTTGTCATAAAAGTTAATATGAAATATTTGGTCATGATGTTTTCGACCACGCAATGGATGTTATCACATTTACAACGACTGATAAAATGGCATAAAAATATGTATCGCACACATGTGAGTATTCTATCGGTAGTGCCTCTTCTTGAAAATCGAAATGTATAGGAAAAAGTGGAAAGTTTTTGGTGGTCATCACTACGACTAAATAAATAATAATCATAAAATAAATGTTTATCTGTAAATATGCCATGGTGGACATATCACTACTGCTTTATCGGTTGAATGTTCTCTTTTTGTGCGTATGATTTTTTTTGTTGTTGGGCTTGTCAATGCGGCTGTGGGATACGATTTCGTTAGAGACTTTTTTCGAGCCTACGTCTATCGCACATGCTTTAAGTGGTGTGAAAATTCTAAAATATATTGCATCCAGTTCACATGATCACTCTAATATATGATGTGAATTTAGTTTATTTTATGAGTTTTCTTTCTATCTCCTTTTTTCAATGCGCACATAATTTTGGTCATGCATTGGTCGAAAGATAAGAATAACAATTTATCTGTATCTCTTAGCTTTACGCAAAGCTATTTGCTCAGCATACACGCAGTTTGCTTGCCATTCTTGCGATGTTTATGCAGACGGGAATCGTAAAAGTGGCAAATATCATGTAAAGAACAAAAAAACCGCACAGAGAAAAAAAACGATGTCACATCAACGGAAGTGCGAACGAAAAAAGCAATGGTACAACTATTTGTTATCAGTTCGAGCATAAGTTTTCCCATTGTGTGCATTATTTTCATCCTTCGTCTCTTTGCTGATTCCTTCTTTTATTTTCAATTCAGAAACACACAAATGACACCAAACGCTTTTATTATGTTCTCAGAGAGAGAGAGAGAGAGAGAGAGAGAGAGAGAGAGAGAGCACTGTGGTTCGATGAAAACCATTTGTCTTGATGATATTCGTTTCATTCTAACATCGTTTAAAATCCGCTACCAACTTTATACGATGTGAGGGTTTCGTGCGGATCGTAGATATGTCAGCTTTTAGTCCACATTTGTGCTCTATATCATCTTCAATTGGCCATTTAATTCATTTCAAACACTTTGTACACATACATTTTCATTTCCATCGTGTGAAACAAAAGAAAACATTTTGTTGGAGCGAAAGTTTATATTTGCTTTATTGTTTCATGCTCAAATATTATTTTTATAATAAGCTTAAAGCTCATCCACAGTTTTTAGAATAGTTTAATGCATACAACGAAGGCTATAGCTAGATTCAAATCAATTGACTTCAAAATAAAAATGGAAGATGTTAGAATGATATCAGTCAAAGGCTAATCCCAATAAATTATATCGGTTCGGTTTATTTTTTAAGAAATGCTGAAACAAAGGAAAACAGATTATTTATTTTGCCAACGCTGATCTTCTTTTTTAATCTAAAGTGACAGTTTAAATGGATTCAGGAAATTCTCTGATAAAACATAACAAAAACGATTTAATCGTTTGTTTACATAACCAAGACCAACAAAATGAATCTGCGTCACGAATTGTAGTTTTATTCCCATAATCGTTATTTACATCAATACCATTTGCGCTGATATTATAAGATTATCTCTCTCAATTTCAACTGAGCAATGTTACCGATATTCAGGTATCGCTGTCGATGTACCGTACTGTCAATGGCACGTCAATTCAGAGTAAATGAATCAACAAAATACCACCATATATAGAGAGAGTTCTCACTATTTCTTAGATATACTATGTGCTTGTCATACAGATCGTCGTTCGTGAATGTCAACTGTCAATGTATACAAGAACCTAATCTCTGATTTTATTCTCTTTGATAACGAAAAAACAACAACTAGTAAATTTTGCACACGTTTCGATACTGATTTACCAGCATTGAAATTGTAATGTTACTAACCATTACATTAACATAAACGTCTGTAATAGTTAATAAAATTATAATAGCTATTAATGTAATACTAACATCTAACATTACAATTTCAATAGCTAATACCGATAATGTCTTGTTACAATAACAATGTGTTATCCGTATTGTTAAAAATCTAACATTAATATTGAGACTTTTCAACACAACTTTAAGTTGAAAATATATTTACAATAGATGGAGATTGTGTCTGGTCTAAGCTCAGCATTGAAATTGATTTGGTTGATGAGCAATTTCAATGATGAGCTTAGAGCAGACACAGGCGCCATCTATTGTAAATATATTTTCAACTTAAAGTTGTATTGAGAAGTCTTATTATTAATGTTAGCTTTTTGACATTAGTGGCAGCGTTGAGTAACACATTATTATTGTAACGAAGCATTGCCAGTAATGTTATAAGAATAGCAATAGCTATTACTGTTAATGCTAGAATCAAACGTGACAATCGTAATGACGTTACTGTAATGCTTCGTTACAATTGTAATGTGTTACGGCAAAATGTAAATCTGTACGTTTCGAGTGTATTGTAAAACTATTTTTTATAAAAAAATTACAAACCGTGTACGCTTTTGAAATTTTCTGGAGCCAGAAATCATTCACTCAAAATTCTGTTGAATAAAAAAGCCGATTTACCCACTTTCGTCGGCTTGGTTTTGAATGGTGAAATGACTTGATTAGATTGTCCGAAGTATGACATATGTATGATTCTTGACAAATTGATGCTGCTCTCGTCACATATCGATGTTGTCAAAAATATATGTGATTTTGGAGCATTTTCATTCATCTTTCATCGTATAATTTAGATAGAATCGAAAACAAAATCATTTCCGCTCTTATTTATTTTTGCTTTTTTAAATTTAAGAAAAAAAAAATAACTTTGATGAAAGATAAGAAATGCATTGAATCCGAAAGATGTCATAATTTCGACAAAAAAAAGGAATGCAAATGCACACAAAATGATAAGCGTGTAACGATATAACGATATTTTATCTCAATTATTCTAAATTATCAACGTAGACGTGTTTTGAATAGCCCACTTGTGCGCATCATTTAAATGATATAAATACCGATTTGTGTCACACCATATTCAGTTCAAGTTGTGGAAGCGTTATAGTTTGAATGCATTGGTCAATAGTACCTTACTCTATAGTTCAGTAATTTTTGGTGTAGGGCGGCGCCACCGTATGTACATAGAAATTTACATTTAAACTAACGCCATCTAACGTGTTTGATAATTTTTTTCCCCAAAAAAGTGGCACTATATCCCGTATTTGGCATTGGTCCGCATTTGTGAATTCGTACAAAATAAACTCAATTTTCAAAAATGAATTTGGTGGTGTTTTTGTTTTTATTAAGCGTCTTAGTGGTGCAATCAGGTTCAGGTAACTTGACAAGCAAATCAAACATTGAAAATAGCTCATTCTCATACATCGTTCGATTTTAGCAATTTCTGAAGCAATATCGAAATCAAATCTCATTCAGACAAATGATCGAATTGTGGGCGGTTTTGAAACGTCCATCCAAGAAAATCCATGGCAAATATCGTTGCGATACTTTTTATCGCATCGATGTGGAGGTTCTATTATTGGCGAATCATGGATTCTCACGGCAGCACATTGTACTGAGTATGAATTTTATTCCAACTCCAAATACAAATAAATTATGAATTAATTTCGACAAATTATCAGTGGCATCACAGCGGGCCCCTTATCGGTTCGTGTGGGTTCGACAAATCTTAATAGCGGCGGAACAATTATATCGGTGAAACGAATCCACCAACATGAAGAATACAATGCACGAACATTGAACAATGATTTCTCACTTTTGGAATTGGCTGAATCACTTACGTACACAGATCAAATTCAACCAATTGCCTTGGCAGCAGCCAATACGATAATTAAAGATGGAACAATGGCAATGGTCAGTGGATGGGGCGCGACACATACAAATGAATCAAATGAAGTATTGCGTGCAGCTTTCGTTCCAATAGTCAATCGAAGCCAATGTAGACGAGCGTATGGAGGTGGAATTACTTTTCGAATGATTTGCGCAGGCTATGAGGCTGGCAAAAAAGATAGCTGTCAAGTAAGATATAATAAAAAAATGAATTTGCCAAGTGTATCAACGAATGTTTTGTTTATTCTCAATAAATTTAAGGGAGATTCTGGTGGTCCCCTGACATATCAAAATGTTAGAAAGGGTGAAAGAGAATTAATAGGCGTCGTTTCATTTGGTAATGGTTGTGCAAAAGCACAATATCCAGGCGTTTATTCTCGCGTACCGGCTGTCCGTCAATGGATCAAAAATAAAAGTGGAATTTGAAAATTGGAAATATATAAATTTTACGTTTTTTTTCATCCGCCTGTTGTATAAAGCAATGGTCTAGACATTATAATAATAATAATAATAATAATAATAATAATAATCTTTATTCACCGCCAAATACTGGCTGAATCATGTTAGAGTTTGTACATATTTATATACATGTATTGGTGGGAAAAAGGTATGAATCAACGATGCATATTACATCTGATCACCGTTAAAAACCACATCTTTTCAATATTTGAGATATAATACAAAAAAAATAATTTAATCATAAATAAATAAATATTTGTAGTAAAATAAAATACACTGCCAGTTTTTGGCCGTAGAGCTTAATGTGAAACGTGGAACCGTACTATTAATATTTTGAATTTTTGAGTGAAGAGTTACAATTTTTTTAAAATTAATTACACCTTGAAAATTGACTTTGCCAATATTTTCCTCACATTGCCTCAACGGCTACCTATGCACTGCCACTTCAAAAAGTTGGTTAACCCTATAATTTATATACCATTCAAAAGGTAATTTTATGGAGATTCTAAAACAATTTTTATCTTCACGTAACTGCAACTTATCTTCAATAAATTTCCCCTTGAAAGTTGACTTTGCCAATATTTTCACTAATTTGGCCTCAAACGGCCACCTGGGAAACACATTCACAAGTTCGATTGGCTAATAACCTATATACCGTTGGAAAGAGGGCTTCAAGAGCTATCATCTGGCAAAGTTTCATCAAAATCATAGAACTAGGTTGCTTGCAATAAGATTCGGAAGCCGATTTTTCTCACAATTTTTCATATTTCGGCCAAACGGCCAGCGTAAAACGCCAGCAAACATGCCGGAAACTCCATAATTTATATACCATTCGAAAGGTAATTTTATAAGGAATCTAAAACAATTTGGTACCTCGGGTGTCTCCAACTTTTTTTCAACAAGTTTCATCTAGATCCAAAGTCATCAAATTAACACTGAAGTAAAACTCATTTATTCCATCTTTTATCCAACAAATGAAGTTACGGATAAACGTCAATCCACCCGAATCCATTTGTGATCCACTCAATAAATGGTGAGTGGAATCGAAATATTTTTCAAAGTGGAATCCAAAAAAGAGGGTCCATGAATGAAAAAATTAAATGGGGAGCACTTATGGGGAAAATAAAAAATACGTCTGGAGGGTTTTTCATGCCCTATCGAATGCCGAAAACCCGAACTCTCTATCTTTTCTGGTTTTCTCTAAAATCACTGAACAAACATATATATATATATATATCTTACTATTCCATAGCTTAATGTATAAAACTACGTTTCACATTAAGCAATTTTCAAATTGCACTGGATACAATGAGTCAAGCATTAAAATAAAATAGATATCACAATGGATCACATTTGATCGTTCAAGAAAACAGTATTATGATTAGACACTAATGACAAGTTGGAAAAGTGATCATCACTTAAAGCCAAAAGACGATTTTTGAATGTTGATCTGTTCAATTGACTTGAGAAAAGTTCGTGGACTTTATTTGACATTTTGCACATTTGATTGAGTGGCACAGATAGATTGATTCTCAACACTTTGTCGTTGATCTTGAAATATTCGACACTTCTCAGGTTGCGTTCATTTAGATTTCGAGCGATTTCCATCTTCAGTAATGGGCAATGAATTTTATTATGCAGTAGATCGAATATAAATAAAATTGAGGCATTTATACGGCGTCTTTGAAGTGACTGCATGTTGAGTTTGCCTAGACGAGTGCTGTATGATGATATTTGAAAGTTGTTTGAAATATTTGGATATTCTTTGAGTGCGAACATTGTGAATTGACGCAGGCATGACTCGATTTTGTTTTTGTGTATGCCATGATACGGTAGCCACACTAAACTGCCATATTCCAAAACTGACTGTACAAGAGCACAGTAAAGCGATTTCAGGGTATGGACATCAGGAATATCGTGGCTGAATCGTTTCACGAATCCAAGTGCTGATGTCGCTTTGGCAACAATTGAATCGATGTGCTTGACGAAGTTGAGCCTACTGTCGAAGATGACTCCCAAATCTCTTTGCTCACTAACCCTTTTAAAATTGTGATTGCCGTATGAGTACGAGTTTATTACATTTTCTCTCTTTTTCGATATGGACATGATCGAGCATTTATCCAGATTCAAATGCAGTTTGTTTGCTTCGCACCAAAGTTTTAATTTGTTGATTGCTGATTGTAGTTTGTTGGTATCATTGATGTTTTCAATTGAAGTTGCAAGTTTCAAGTCGTCAGCAAACAGAGAGATAAAAATGTCGTCGGCACTTATTGAACTTACAATGTCATTAATGAACAATAAGAATAGTGTGGGGCCCAAATGGCTACCTTGTGGCACTCCTGAGTGTACGACAAACTCGCTTGACTCCATCTGACCATATTTGACGAATTGACGACGATTTGACAAATATGATTTGATCCATTCGATTAAGTTTGGTGCCAGATTGAATTTTCGCAGTTTAGAGATCAGAATCGAATGATCAACAATGTCAAATGCCTTGCTGAAGTCAGTATAAAGCACATCAACTTGCTTTTCGTCATTCATAGCCTTAATGGAATAATGCAAGAATTCCAATAAGTTTGACGACGTTGAGCGACCTTTCATAAAACCATGTTGTTGAGGTACGAGTTTATCAGATATAATTTTACTGAGTTCTAAGTTCACCAAGTATTCAAAAAATTTGGCTATCGTTGGCAGTTTAGCAATGCAACGATAGTTCTCGACATTTGATCGCGATCCCTTCTTGAAAATTGGTCCGACACTGCAGCGCTTCCATCCGGTGGGAAAATTCCCAGTGGCGAGCGATTCATTGAAAATGTTTGTTAGCGGTTTATACAGTAAAGCAGCACAATTTTTGAGAATAATGGGATGAATTCCATCCGGACCAGCACCTTTCTTAGAGTTGATTTGAATCAGTTCGTCGAAAATTGAAAATTCGTTGAGTTTGAATTGATCCGCATTTGAGTTTGATTGTGTTGGAATTTGTGCTGTCGATTGAAATTGAGACGGTTGATTTGCGAAGTTATTTTTGAAGAAAGTTGCAAACATTTCAGCTTGCTCCTTCTTGTCAACCGATGATTTTTCACCAAACTGCAGCGATTTTGGATCGCAGTCACTATTTTTCTTCATGTTGACAAAGCGCCAGAATGATGATGGATCAGACTTCAACGAAGAAGAAACTTTGTCAACATAGGAGTTATATAGTTCGGTGTTTAATTTGGTGAACTTGTCAAGTGCCATCAAATAATTTGAATCATCGCCAGTAAACTTCGATCGTTTCCATTCTTTGTTCTTTTTGTTTTTGAGAGACTGGAGTTGCTTATTTTGCCACGGACATTTTGGTTTAACTTTTTTCGTTTGAATGGGCACGTACTTATCAATCGCATCGTTGAGAATTTGGTGCAAAATATCCACTTTTTGATCGAGTGTCTTGTTTAAAAACTGTTGACAGAAATTTACCTCTTCCAAGTATCGGTTTATTGCGATGTAGTCCGCTTTGAAGAAGTTACGAGTTGAAAATTGCTCTTGAGTTTCGTTGCTCATGTGCCAATCATACGATAATAGAATCGGCGGATGATATTGTTCATCGATGGAAGATAATGGCGGTGTAGAAGAAACTTCGACATTCATGAAATCATTGGTAAATATTAGATCGAGCAGCCTATTACTGGCATTGCGAATAGAATTAATTTGATAGACACCATTTGCAGTGATGTCTTCAATAAAATCTGCCGCATGCAAAGGAGTGACGCACGTTGGAATGAGAACATTATGTTCAGCATCGTCCGTTATCCAATTGACAAGGGGTAGATTGAAATCACCCATTATAATGATGGTGTCATTTGGGCTTAATGGAATATGATTTATGGCATTCGAGTGGCATTTGTATATATCCGGCTGTGAGTTCGGCGGAATATAAGCCGCATAAATAAAAACATTTAATTTTGCATTAATGTTAATTTTGACGCACACGTATTCCAATTGACTTGTGTCATCGAGTGCAATGTTTGTGGATGACAATTTGGAGCTTACTGCGATGAGTACACCACCACCTCGACTTAACAAAGATCCAGTCTCATAACGATCTTTGCGGTAAACATGGTATGAATTGTCAAAGAATTCTGACGAGAAATGTGAATTGTTCAGCCATGTTTCCGTCAAGACCACGATCGAATGAGAAAATGTCGACGAATTGCAAAAGAATTGTTTGGATTTGGTACGAAGGCCACGAACGTTTTGGTAATAAATGTCGTTTGAAGTCACTAAAATCGATTGAGGAGACTGCTTAGTTGGTTGACCATTTGATTCAATAGCCTGAGCTCCTTTGGACCCATGAATTGATTGGCTCGATGATGTGTTTGAGTTTGGTTGATGTTTGGAGCCCGACGAAAATTTTTCCTTTCCGACTGTACTTTGAAAGGAGCCCAGTGGTTTTTTTGATTTGAGTTTGAATTTGAATTGACTTTTTTCCTTTCGTTATTGGTAGCTTTTGATTGTGAAAATTGTTTGTTTTTACTGTGAGCAAATTTTTGACGATAAAAGTTTGAAATTAATATCGGAGTATTCCGATTTTTGTTACAATTTGCTGTATCGATTTGTTCGATTGAGTGAGACATTTGTGAATTTATTTTGTTTTGTTGTGGCTTCCGAACGGCAAATGGATTTACACGAATTTGCTTTGATTGTGACTTTGATTGTGATTGTGGTTTTGAGTGAATTTTCGGGGGGTGAACAATAAACTCATTTGCTGTCACACCAAATGGCCAGAATGATTGTTGGAGGTACACCTCATAAAATTCCTTGTGAACGGTTAATTTGAAGGAGATGAACGACAGTTTTTTTGTATTGCATTTTTCGGGCAGTAATTTTTTGCACTCAATAATTTCAGTTGAACAACGATCTTGAGAGTCAATGTATTTAACTATGTCCATTTCAACAGTTGACGGTTTGAATGGTGTCAAATAAATACAACGATAGTTGGTAGAACTGACTTTGTTCGAAACCAATTGGCTAAGAACTGAATTTTGAGTATCTGGATTATTTTCAATCGAAATACGACGTCTTTTGGCATTTAAATTTATTTGAGAGCATTCCACTGATTCATTTCCAAGTTCATTTGTATCCATTTGTTGGGTGTTTTGGATGGAATTTTGAGTTTGAATTTGAATCGAATCAGTACAAATTGTCGAAGGAATAATAACTAAATCCGCAAGTTGATTGCTTTGTTCAGAGTTTTGTTGTGACAGCTGTGATTGTTGAGATTGAATTGTCGGTTCGGTACCATTTGAATGTTGTTGCATTTGGTCTATATCCCGTGTAAATGTGGCGGTGATATTTGGCAAGCAGTTGTCACAAAACCATAATAGATTTTCAATATAAAATATGGCATTGAAAATGGTTTTTTTAAAGTATTTGTTTGCACTGGAAAGGCAAGACAAATGATGCTTGTTGCCACAACCAAAACATTCCAGCGAGTCATGGTTGACAGTAATTTCCATTGTGCATGACGTACAGCTCATTGTGACAATAAAAACACACAAGTGGATTGCAGCGATTGACAACTGGAATGAAATGCAAGTGTATTAACTCAGCACACAATTGCGACGGTGTTGACAGCACGTATACACAGATCAACACTAATGTAATGCCGGTGAGTTAGCTATGTAGTTGTGTGTTGGTTTTTTTTACTTCATTCGCCGAAAAACACCGAATTTATTTTCTCGAATAAAAAATATCCACACAATGAATTATTTGAGCAATTTGATATTATTGTAAAAAGAGTGATTAGTTTAAAACACAAAAAAATTTGAGAGAAAAAACCAACGAAATCAATAACAAATTGAAATAATAGTGAGAGACAATTTAAAACACGACTAGACGCACAGCTGTCAAAGTACTACTTGATTTACTGATTATATAATATATCAGTAATAAATAGCATAGCTTTCGAATATATTTTGTGATGAGTAAGTGGAAGTTTAATTAAAAAATATTACACATCATCAGATTGATCATTCATAATACAAATGTTTCGTCACGTCAAAGTTAAGTATACTCGACTGATAAGCGAATTTCCAACGATGCTCACCTATTCGACGTTCTTACAATAGATAATAAATAGCAAACGCGTTGTATTTACTTTAAATGTTACATTTTTTCAGACAATATATTGAACTAGCTGGTCAGTTGAGCTGACAGTACGTTAGCCAGCTAAATGGACTAAAACAATAGAAGTTATTGTTATAATGAACAATCACTTTTATTAAAACAAGAAAAGTGATTCATCATTAAAACAATAACGTCTATTGTTTTAGCCAATTTAGCTTGCTAACGTACTGTCAGCTCAACTGACCAGTTAATTCAATATATTGTCTGCTTTTTTTTAATGCGATCTGCGGTTGATGACACTTTGAAATGCTTGAAGTATTTGCACGTGCTTATTGCTGTAAATAACCTAATCGGTGAACATTATCAGTCAAACATGCTCCAAATCAGTATTTGCTTCTCACAAATTTCAGGATCGCATTAGTTAAATAAATCGAATTTATTAAATAATCATATGGTTAAATATTTTATTGTCGTTTTTTGTTTTCAACAAATTTTTGTTCCACATTTTGTTCTCTCAGTAGTTCCAGAATGTTTGATACTGGCATTTCAATTGTCAAAGTAGCTATTATTGATACGAACACTGTTAACACGTAATTTTCGATAAAAACGCGTAGCTGTGAATAAAAAAAATATCTATAGCAACGAAATTGAGATTCGATAACAGGGTAAACGTACTATGGCCAATTCCCTGAAATATGGTGAGGCATCAACCATTGTAACGGTCATTATTGGAATGTGCAGTAAATAAATCGCAAATGAAAGTCTTGAAAGCGGTTGCCACCAAGGGTGTGACAAAAACCAGTTAATACGACCACCATAATTATGTGCGCAGGCAAAAATAATATAGCATAAAGCAATTGACCAAATAATTCGACCCAAACCAAAGTATAAACCATACTTGAAAGAAGTGAGTTTTGTGTTTATCTGCATGATTGGCAACATCACCATCATCATCGCTGACAAAGAAACAGTCCAAGCACCCAAGTTTAGCATCTATTGATATGAGACACATTTTTTTATTTTGCGCATTCATCTAATATTTAAAATATCCATACCTTCGGTATGTGAATTGATTGCGTTCGAGCCTTGAAAAATCCGTATCCAACAATGACTCCGATCAAATACGGTGAATAGCGAATGTGTGTGGGTACATACACTAGACTAAAGTAAGAAATATCCGACCTTTGGAAATAAAAACATGTTGTACAATGTACAATTGTACATACAATTTTTTCAGTAATAATACCAGAAAAAAATATGCATACCAGGTATTTAAATCATGAATAGCATAAGTTATTACAGTGAATCCAATACAACATAAAGCCACGAGTGACCAGATGCAGACTGCTTTAAATTTAAAACGATGAATTGAGTAAACAATAAATGGTGCAAACAAGTAAAGTTGCATTTCAACCGATATCGACCAGGAATAATCAGAACACTGTTCAGCAATATAAAAAATTACAATTGGTTATATATGATTAAAAATAAAATGATTAACTTACTACTGCATTTGGGTTAACATAGTTTTGAGTATGTAACAATACCGACCACCAGTATTGACCGCATGGGACGCGAAACTGTTCATGCAAATTGTTCCAGTATGGACCCGTGATGAGAAAACGTAGTAAGGTCATTGAAATCAGGACGGTTACACCCAACATTGGTGTCAATCGAAAATAGCGATACAAATACAATCGCATAACCTTGAATTTTCCATTCCTATATCACTCGAATAATAATATAAATTGTGGATTTGTGGATTTGTGTTTTTGTTAAATAGAAACATGAACAATTAGAACCTACTTTTCCAATTGTTTGAATAATGCGATCGAAGACAATAGTCCACTCATTACGAAAAATGTATCCACCCCAAACATAGCTGAGAAAATGATATTGCCATAATATTTTGGTACTAACTGGAAATTCAAAGATGAATTCGGCATAAATTTGTAATAAAACAAATAATGCATGGTAATGTCAATTGGCATCATTTACCTTGAAATATATGTCATAAAAGTTAAACGGCGGTAAACAAAGCTTGTAAATTAAATGAAACAAGACAACCCATTGTGCTGATATTGATCGAATTCCATGCAGACATTCTATCGTATCCGGCGTTTTGGCTTCCTTACACGATAGCAACTTTAATCCATTTGTGTAGACGGAAAATACCAATAATGTTGGAGACTTCTTATCTAAAAAAATAAAATATATCTCTGAATAGCAGGAATACTTTCGAAAAGAAAAATGTTACAACACTGAACAAAACGCACACTTAGATACGGTGTAAAAAATGTCATATCCCGTGCTCACAAATACCATACTCAAAATTATTCCAATTAATCCACTTATGAATATGAAAAAAAAATTAGAAATTAATCTTACTTCAGTCGGTTTATTTTCAATGAATTCGATTCCATAAAATGTATCGACTTACAGCGCGATTTTGTCCAAAATGTTGATTTTCGAAGCAGACTCTTCGAAAAGACAGGTATTATTAAGTAGAACTACTGACACATCATTATTATCTGTTTTTCGAATCAAATTATTAAAACTCGCCTCTATGAGATTTAACGAACATGCGGCTGGTAAGCATACTCCAAATGTGAAGGAGCTTTCATGTGTGAATAATGGTATTTTCTTCGAATATTTTTCCAAATCGAATACAAGATTCCCCATGCAATATTGCGTTTTGAACAGTTCTCCATTTCGTTTAATATTGAAACACTGTGAAAATGCACCAGCATCGTAATAATTTCCACTTAATACTCCGGACGGTATTTTGCCCCATGCATCTACAACTGAACACACACAAATTGGAACACGCTGTTTTACTTGAAAATAATTGTAAAACCTTTTTAATTCTAAATCAGAATTACCTTCAAATGCCCATGGTTCGGAGCTCTTTAGAGCATTCTCGATTGCAGTTAGTTCGTTTAAGCACTTTTCATTACTCTCATTTGCAATATTAAAGTGATTGTTGAAAAGATTGTTTTTCAGTTGATCAAAATTTAAGAAATTCAAGAAATTGAATTTGAATTTTGGATTATTTAATTCCGACTTCACTGTATTGCACTTGATCACAATTAATAAATAAAACAATTTGGAAAAAATACTTTTAATGTTAGCCATTTTCACTGCTTTGGCAGCGAAACTAATCGTCTGAGATGTTCATAAGCAATTGAGTTCATCTCTGTTGAATGAAGCAATTTTTATATCGTAGAGACCAATGATAATTGCTACAAGCAGTAAAAAAATCAAAAACAACAAATATGCTGATTTAGTAGCAATAAAATACATATTAACGAACAATTTTAATCACAAAATGCATAATAATAATAATCACAAATGCATAACGCCATTAACGTTCGTTTAATTTGTGCACAAACATACTAATGTGGTGTGAAAACATGTATAGTTTTATTATAAAAAAGGGGGAGAGAAATCCAAAAAAAGCCAAATAAGAGGTGAGCTATTGCTTCCATCGTTTTCATCAGTGCACAGAGATTTTGATCATAAATTAATACCCACAAAATTGAATTTTTCGGCAATTAAAATCAATTTATTTCAATCTGTTGTTGGTTGGTCTGTAACCGTTAGAACTTCGTTTGTATGATGTCAACATACAAGAATTGCGATGTTTCACGGAACTTCAACTTTTTTTTATTGCAAAGATATAAAAACTTGTGCAAAAACTCATCCAAAAAAGCAATACTATTCTGTCATTAAAATAACACAAATTAATGTAGAAATCAATCGAACACTTAAAATGTTGTTCGTAAAAAACCAAAAGTAAAGGTAATCTAATAATAATCGTATTTATATTATTTTCTCAGTGTTAAACATGAACGTTTGTGTGTATTTTGATTCATTCACGTGAGTATGTCGTGCAGGCCATTGGGGTTTAAAATCCATAGAACTTTACATTTGCATTAGACAACCGGATTTACATGTTTCGAAGAATTATGAATTTATTTCATGAAAGTGAAAATATCTCTTTTCGTTCATTTGTTACGAAAATGAGAATGACGAATACCATTTTTCAAGCCACTTAACTGGCATACATTGATAACGATAATTCTTCTCCCGTTGAAATGAACAGAATCAATTGTTACAAAAACGAAGGAAATGCCTTAAATCTGTAAAAATGAATTCAAATAGTCGATAAATGATAACAATCAATAGTACTTTGAATTTTTGGGGTATAAGTACCATTGCTTTCATTGATTCAGTACAAGTTCTATGGGCTGAACGCAAATAAAGTGAATAAATCGTTTTTAAAATGAGTCTATTCAAGTGTTTACTTGTTGTCAATCTGTTTGTCATCGGATTGGTCTCAGGTGTGATGAAAATTTTGAATTGTTTACATTGTTAGGAAACTAAAAATTATTTAATTCATAATTCTTATCGAATTTTGAAGGGAATCCATTTGTTAACCACGATGATCCAAATAATAGGATTGTTGGTGGATTTGAGACAAGCATTGAAGAAAATCCATGGCAGGAGTCTTTACAAGTCTATTCGTTACACAATTGTGGTGGTTCAATTATTGGCAATAAATAGGTACTATCGGCTGCACATTGTGTTAATGGGTAAATGACATTGATTTTATCGATTAACTGAAATTATGAATATTGTTGACATTGTGAAATAATATGGTGTCAATTGTTTTATACCTAAGACTAGTCCAATCGTAAAAACATTTGCCACGAACCAATATTTCAGTACAACCATCTTCAAAGCGGTCCATGTACAATCGTTCTGGGATTGGCGTAATATTTGTATCTAACGCAAGAGATTGGAAATGTGGACTAAATTATCAAAACAATCATAGACCTGTATTTATAGGTCAATATTATCTATTTAAAATGTCTTTTTTCTATCAGGTTGAATATTCTTATCAATGTGCTTGTATTCGTTAAATTAATCAAGTTTTGAAGATAATGCAAACAGATTAATAAATTTATATGAAAAGGAAATCAATAAATCAATGGAATGATGTCTTGAATTGTCAGGCGTTAAGAGTTTTGAAGTCAAGAATATTAGTTGTATTTATTTCACTCTAAAGATTACAATATAAGTAAACATTGTTGAATGACAATAATATTTGACAATATTTAAAGTCCAGTTTCGCTTTTGATCCACGAGCGAACAGATGTTACCCGACCATAGACTCCGGGATATTTTGGTTCTGCACATCCGCGGCCCCATGAAACTACACCAACAACCACACGAACACCATCTTTCTCAATAGATAAGGGTCCACCGGAATCTCCCTAATATAAGCAAAACAATCATTGATACACTTGGAAAATTATGTTTTTTTTATATATCTTACTTGACAGCTATCTCTTCCACCAGCCTCATAGCCTGCGCAAATCATACGTGCAGTTATTGGTCTTCCCAAATTTTTGTAAGCATCACTACAATACTGTTCATTGGCAATTGGCACATGAGCTGCACGAAGTTTTTCATTCGATTCATTTGAATTATGTGTCGCGCCTTAAGAGAAGATACATTCGATAAGACTCCATTCTTCGAAAGTTCAAACTAATAGATTTACTCACCCCATCCACTCACTAATGTCGTTTCACCATCTTTAATTGAAATTTCTTCATCTGGTAAGGCAATCGGTTGGATTTTTTCCGAAAATGTTATGGCTTCGGCCAATTCCAAAAGTGAAAAGTCGAAATCGGTGATACTAGCATTGTAGTTTTTGTGGCGAATAACTCGTTTCACTTGGATAATTGATCCGTCCTTTCGATAAAAAGATGAACCAACGCGCACAGAATAATAACTTGCACCACCTCCACTGAAATGACAAATTATCAACTAATTTATTTTTATTTTATTTTTTTCAACTTTTCAATTTGAACTTTATTACCTAGTACAATGTCAACAATATTTATAATTTCAATTAATCAATAAAATCAATGCAATTTACCTCGATGCACAATGCCCAGCCGTTAGTACCCATTTATTGCCAATAATTGAACCACCACAATTGTGTGACGAATAGACTTGTAAAGACACCTGCCATGGATTTTCTTCAATGCTTGTCTCAAATCCACCAACAATCACATTATTCGGATCATCGTGGTTAACAAAGGGATTTCCTTCAAAATTCGATAAGAATTATGAATTAAATAATTTTTAGTTTTCTAACAATTTAAACAATTCAAAATTTTCATCACACCTGAGACCAATCCGATGACAAACAGATTGACAACAAGTAAACACTTGAATAGACTCATTTTAAGAACGATTGATTCACAATTTTTGCAGTTTAGATGCACTCGACCCCTTAACTTGTAACTGATTGAAGCCATCATAGGCACCTATATTTATACCTCGAAAATTCAAAGTACCATTGATTGTTATCGTTTATCGCTCTATGATATGCATTTCGTTTTTCGAATGCACTCATTTTTTTATTTTTTAATACTTCCATTAACACTTGGATGCATTGCATACATGGTGCGCAAAATGTTTTATCAGCTGGTATTCGCGACACGCGCTCAGTGTATCGTCATTTTTCTAAACCATATCATTACTTTGTCTAGACAAAAAACTATTTAATAATTGATACAGCAGAGAAGTGTTTTTCATTTATTGGTCAAGTATTTATTTGAATGAAAAAAAAAATCAGCTTATCATAGAGATTGTATTGCGATGTTATTAATACCAAAGGCAAATACACAAAATGCAACACAATTATATTAATTGGTATTATTTCATTTGGGCGAGTTTGTTGCCGAATCAACTACCATGAAATTTACGCAAATTAACGACAATTCATGAATAGATAACACCTTGACAACCGATTGAAATCTTTCTAAGCAAAATAACACAGATTCATTTCAAGGAATGATACAATACACGCATGTAATATATTTTATTGCAATGAATTTCAAGAAAACATAGGTAAACATGTTCACAGCTAAAATGTGGATTTGCAAGGATTGTATTGATAACCTTTTAAATCAAATGCTATTTGGTTTGAAGATTTTTGAAATCGAAATGCACATGTTATCTTTGAATAAACCGAGGTGAACCTCAACATGAGTAAACTACGTCCATAAATACGTAAAATGTCAAAAGAAAACGATAAGCCATAAAGGAAATAAATAACAGCCTCTGTTTGCAATTGTATTCTTGTGCAGTTTTTCCTACATCGAATGATGCTCACACATTCGACCAGAAAATGTGTACAACTATACACACACAATATATAACAATGCCCGACCACACATTATGGTTTTATTGGTTTCTTTCTTTTACATTTGGTATTTTGTCTTCGATATGGCAACTTTATTACATTGGTCTTTTCCATTCGTCTCTGTACAATGTCCCCAATGGAATGGTGATTTATGTATTTTTACTGGTGGAAACCGACACAGAGTGGGCAACCTTTTATTTTAGTTTTTACTGTGTTGAAAGATATAGGAAAACTACAAATGTTTCTTTGCTTATTGAAATAGAACATTTCAAAATAACATTTATTGTTCTGTATAGCATATTGACCCGCTAGATATTTTACCGCACTCTTACATCCCACCCTCGTTATGTATATTTACTATATAGATTGTAAAATGGTTGTAACAAAAATTTAGCCGAACGTGGTTTCATCCAAATCCTAACAAATATCGCATTGAGTCTGAATTTGCTAAGCGAAAAGTATATTCATTGGATTGAATTCATAAGTGTTATTCTATATGAATTGTATGCATACCTGGTATAATATTTGGCATATAACCTTTTTTAAATGTAATAATTATTTATGAACGAACAATTTACCTCTGGCTCATTTTTCAGGAAATTGAAAAGTTTTACGTTTCAAAATTTATACACATATACTTTGTTTCGTCGGACTCCTTTCTTTTTGATAACGTTCAACCTTTGCCTTCGTATTCATGACTATGCTTTGGTCATACATTTTTCTATGGTTTTGGCCAGTTGTGAGGAAAAATATTTAAACTCGTCATTTTATTCAGTAGCACAATGTTTGTACGAACTGGTGCGACGCGCATTTTTCTTTAATCATGAAATTCAAATTAGTATTTGTATGAAATTTCATAGTCGAAAACGAAATGCGGAGAACAAGAACAATGCCGGAATGAATTCAAAAAATACGAAGTATGAAATAAAAGAGAAA